GGGTGATGGTGGCGCACAGGTCGCTGCCAGCACACGCAGCAGGCGCGGAGGGAGGCGCGCTGATGGAGGATGGAGCAAGCAGGAGGCCGAGAATACGAAGCAAGGGGCCACTAGGGTGCGCGTTTTCGCTGGCGGCCGCTCGTTATCGGCAGCTGGTGCCAGCACGTGCAACTCTCGCGGGTCTGGCCGAGACGCAGAGGCAGGCTTCCCCGTGGTGGCCCTCCCCCTCGCCTCCCCCTCCGCACGCACTGACCAGCGACGCGTGCCGCCGGAACTCGGTCATCGCCGCAAATCCGCGCAGGCGCTGCAGCACCTGCACAGGGGGGGGGGGTGTTGTAAAGGCACAGGACGCGTTGGCGCGGCCTTGTCCGACATTTTTGCCGTACTGCAGCACGCCAGCGGGGGCATGATCTCTCAGGGGGCGGGCCAGCAGAACCTGCCGGGTGCTGCCTTCTGTATCCGGGCCCAGGCTGCCTGCGTATCCGGGCCCAGGCTGCCTCTGTAGGGTGGTGTTGTTCTGTTTGGACACCCCATGAGCGGTGAGGCGCCATCGCATGTTTAGGGGCACGCCCCCCCCCCCCGGGGTGCCTTGCCGTAATTCATCACTCACCTCCGGCTGGATGACGTTGTCGTACGCCACACCGTCCTCCCTGAAGTGAAGATGTGTGATTTGCGGGTGGTTGGTGTGCAGGCAACAGGCAGGCTGCACGAGTGGCTTGCAGACGGGCAGCTGCTTGGCGGCCCACACAAGCACATGGTGGCGGGAGAGCCCTGGAGGCGGACGGGAGAGAGGCGCGACCGCACGCGGGGCCGCCCCTTGAACCCCCATTGCCGTGCTGGACGGCTGCACCCGCGCTGGACAGCCGCACCCGGGGGGCCCGACTTCTGGCCCCCCACTGCGTGACGCTCGACGTTAAGGCCAGGTGCACAGCAGCCCGCCATCAATCACACACGCGTGTGACGGCAGCACCCCGAGCAAAGGCCGCCGCACTGTCGCAAGGCGGGCAGCCCGGGCGCCGTCGGCCCGCGCGGCCGCCTCACCTGATCCACGGGTGGTTCAGCATCTCCCTGGCGCTGGGGCGGTGAGCGGGGTCGTACGTCATCATGCGCATGACAGCCTCCTTTGCGTCGTCGCTGATGAAGGGCCACGGGTTGCAGGTGCTGAGGGGGATGGGGTGGGGTAAGGGGAGATCGGAGTTCCCAAGGTTGAGAGTGGGGCTGGCCAGGAGGTGCGTTCGCAGGGCCAAGCACGGCGCAGGAGAGGATGACTACATGCATGGCACAAGCTGCGCAGGGACTATCGAGGAGCGATAAGGATGGGCTTTGAAACACGCAGGGTAGCCGCCAGCGGCTTGACGGATTGAGGGGTGGATGCCTTGGCGGCGGCGGCGGCGGCGGTGCCAGCGCACGCGGTCCGCCTTACAGGTTGGGTATGCCGTCGTTCTTGACCTTGCGCATGACCGCGTCGTCGCAGACTGCGTAGAACGGTGGCTGGCCGGCCAGCAGCACGTACAGCATGACGCCGCAGGACCAGACGTCGGCGCGCTCGTCATACTTGCCATCGATCATCTCCTGCGAGAGGGATTTGGCGGCAGTGAAGGGCGAAGGTGGGGGGGTGAGATCGGGGGTTGGGCGAGGTTGGGGCGAGCGTGTTAGGAAGGGAGCAGGAGGGAAAGCAGGGCTGCGGGGCAAGGGGGGGAGCAGCTGGGTGGTTGCAGGTGAGGTGAGCGAGGGTGCAGGTCCAGATGGCAGGTCAGACATCCGAAGTCACAAACCAAGAGGCCGGGTTGGGGATGTTGGCAGCGGAGGGTGGGGGATGTGAGTTTTGCTTTTGAAGAGGGGGGCGCTGGGCTGCTATGCTGAGTCGGTCCGAGCTGGGCTTGAGGAGGGCGGCGAGGCGGTTGCTGGCGGCACATCTGGGGTCAAGGCAGGGGTGTGGCAGCAGGGGTGCCCTGGCCCGCCCCCAGGCGGCAGCCGCCTGGCCCGCAGGCGTTCACCGGCGGCATGTAGTACGACGTCCCGCACAGACGGTGCAGCTGCTCCCCGGGGGTTACAAACGTGCCAAAGCCCCAGTCCGCCAGCTGCAGTGACGTCACGTCTGATTCGACCTTCAGCAGGATGTTGTCCGGCTGGAGCGGTCGGGGGTTGTTTTGAGAAACAACTCAATTACAGGGGTTCGGCTGGGCATGCCATGGCACGGCGGCGTTGTGTAACGACCCATCTCATCCTGTCTCATCCCATTCCATTCTATCACCATTAGTTGATCAAGTTTGACCACCCCCCCCAAACACACCTTGATGTCCCGATGCACCACCCCCATGTCGTGGGCATACGCGACGACCTGCAGCACGCTGCGGATGATGGCTGCCGCGTCGCGCTCCGTGTAGTTCCCCTGCGGACGCGGCGCATGCAGCCCGGCAGGATGGCGGGGCTTCTCCAGCACGCAACACCGCCAGGGCCACCGTCAGATGGACGGGTGCGCACGGGCCCTCGCTGAGCAGTCGGGCCCGACTGCGTGCGCCCGACTGCTCAGATGCCGCCGGCGACCCCTGACAGTACACCGCTTCAACACCTCAGAGCGCGTCCGGCCCCCACCTCCACCCTCTCTGCATCGGGCTTCCCGCCAACATGATCTGTGCCCCCCCCCCCCGGCCTGCACTGCAGCTGCAACCGCCTGAGGATTGGCCAAAATAAATGCCTTCACCCTGGCTGTACCGCCTATTGTGTCCCACCCACCTTGTCCAGGATCCTCTGCACCAGGTCACCCCCTTCGCACAGCTCCATCACCTGGGGCCAGGGGGGGGGGGGGGGGCGGCATCGGCGCCACGTGCAGCCGACGGATGGAGACTGCACGTGAGGGCCGCACCCTGGCGCACCGACGGCGCGCTGACCGTGCTGTGGAGCCCAGGGCCCTGAGTGGCCAGCCGGCGCAGCCTGAAGATCCTCCCACCCAAAAACCCCACCCTAGACCCTGCGGCTGCCACTCGGTCAAAGGGTGAGGCCGCCGCCCACCCTCGGCTGCCCCTCGGCCTCTGTGGGCCCCCCTCCTCGGC